AGACGCATCTAATTTTGAGAAGTACTTCGCGCCGGCCATTTGAGAAAGAATATCTTCGGCAGTGGGTAGCTGGTAGTGTTGCCTCTTATCACTTGATTGAGATCTAGAGGGTCAAGGCACACACGCAGTTTTCCATTAGGTTTCTCAACGATCACGAGATTAGAAACCCAATCAGTGGGCCCGTCAACCTTATCTATAATGCCAAGGCGCATCATGTGGTCAAGCTCATCTTTCAATTTCTCACGTAAGGCAAAGGGAACTTTTCTAGGCGCTTGTATAACAGGGGAGAAATTCCCATCCATGTTTAGGTGATGAACTTTAGATAAACTACCTATTTCACCAAAGCAATCGCTATACTCATTAATTAAACTAGAGTACTCACAATCTACAGTCATTACACGGTTAATGAGGTTGAGTNATGAACTTTAGATAAACTACCTATTTCACCAAAGCAATCGCTATACTCATTAATTAAACTAGAGTACTCACAATCTACAGTCATTACACGGTTAATGAGGTTGAGTGTCTTGCAAGTGTTCAGTCCTAGGAGTGGGACAGAATCCATTTCTGCCACAATGAAGAGAACTTTGTATTCTTGATATCCGTTCTTCAGAGTGACGATGCACTTGCCGACGACTGGTATGTCGGTGCCGTTGTAGGCGGTGAGCTTCACTTTTGCCGGATGTAGCTTAGGTTTGTGGATGAGGTTAGTGTATTCCTTTTTTGGAAGAATCTTAACTTGACTGTCTGTGTCAAGTTTGTAGTTAATGTTGGTTCCATTTGATTCCAAAATGACAGACCATTCCAGTACCTCATCTTCTACATTGTTTGAGTGTAGAGTCGTTTCATTGACATCTTTCTAGGCTTTCCACAGTTATCGCACCGACAAAATTCTCCCATTCATCCTCGGGGTGGCAAGTGATTTCACGAATCAGCCTGTTGTGTGCTTGTTGAGGGTTGGATCGGCGTTGTTTTTTAGGGCAGCATTGTGTGAAGTGATTTGGAGCACCACAATCGTTGCATAGCTTTCCGTATGCTGGGCAATTTCCACGATTATGTCCACAACCACAAAATTTGCAGTTAGGAAAGTACTCTGGTGTCGCGCCTTTGTTTGTCTTGGGTATTGCCCCTTGGTCGACCATATCGACTGGAGTAGGTTTCGAGGCATGTTTGAGTTCTTCAGCATGTTTTCTCGATTCCTCAGCAGCGCGACCAAGTAAAATGGCCTTCTCCAACTTGAGATCTGTTTCTCGTAGGTAATGCTTACGAAGTTTGTTGTCAGTCTGAATAATTCTCAATTTGCGTACCGTTCAGGTGGAAGTTGTGTTAACACTCTGTTGAAAATGCAACATACATTTCTTGCGGCATTGGATAAACGGGACACCTTAGCTGTGAGAATGTTGACGATGGATTTCTCTAAAGCCTTTGATAACGTTAAACACAATCTTCTAGTTGAAAAGCTGAAACATAGTCCACTTGATTCATTCATTGTTAACTGGTATGCCAACTTTCTCGAAGGTAGAAAACAAAGGGTGATTTTTAATAATTTGACATGCCAGTGGAAAATTGTTAACAAGGGAACAACACAGGGAAGTGTCAGTGGCCCATATCTTTTCAACATATTTTTGAATGACCTAGAGATAGATGGGTACAAAGATATATCCTTGTTTAAATATGCAGACGATTCAACCGTCTTAGTCACGATTACTAAAGATTCCCCGGATATATCTGACATTGCCTTGTCCAAGTTTATGGATTGGACTGTTGCAAATGACATGCATTGTAACACTAGTAAATGTAAGGAGCTAATTATGCGTAAGAGAGGCAATTCAACAGTCTACCCAATGTCTCACAATATCAAACAATATAATAACATTTCTTTATTAGGCGTCACAATTCAAGGTAATTGTAAGTTTGGCTTGCATGTCAAGGCCAAGCTCCATGAAGCCAACAAGTGTTTATTTGTCATCAGAAGCCTACGTAAAGAAGGATATACACAAGATGAAATAGACCACCTCTTTAATTCAATTGTGATCCCTAAGTTATTATACGGTCTTTCAGTTTATGCTGCAAGTGTTTCCGAACTTACTGTTATACAAAGGTTTTTAAAAAGATGCTATAAGAGGCGTTATACGTCGCACAATTACAACATATATGAACTTTTGGAGAAAAGCGACAGACGCCTTTTTTATAACCTCAAACGCGATGGCCATCCATTAAAAAGCTTGCTCCCTAGGTACAAAGACTGTATTGCAAACCTGCGAAGGAAATCCATTGTCAGGCCCAGCATTAACACTGAACGTTTCAAAGATAGCTTTTTTAATAGATTAATTTTTAAATATGATCTAGCTGTGTAAATACCCCATATGTATTTGTAATCAATTTAATCTTTTTTATTCGTCTTAATCATTGTAACTTTTTTTTTCTATCAATATATATTCTTACTGTAACATCAGATATGTAATTTTATCGGATGCTTTTTAATAAAGACGTTATTATTATTATTATTATTATTATTATTATTAGTCATTCCCCACACAATCCTGTCAGTGATCAGGGAGTCTTTCAGGCTGGCAAAAGCGCATTCCTCAGCACGTTTCTTCAGTTCAGTAACAAAATCATCAAAACGCTGTCCATCTTGTTGGTTGTAGGAGAAGAATTGATAACGTAGAAAGGTTGTGTTCTTTCGCGGATTGCAGTACGCTGTGAATTTACTTAGGATCGGGCTGACTTTCATCTTGTCTTCCTCGGTCTGGAAGGTGAAGGTGTTGTAAATTTCACGAGCTCTTTTTCCAATACAAGTGAGTAGGATAGATGATTTAACTTTTTCGGATTTTCCATCACTCTCAGTGGCTGCTAGGTATAACTCAAACTCTTGTTTCCATCTTCTCCAGTTTTCTCATACGTTTCCTTCAAAAGAGAGTGGCTCTGGAGGGTCTAATTTATCCATTTTAGAGAGATCCCACTTCTGACACCATGTAAAGATCAAACCAGAAGTTTGGACAGAAGAATGGATTTATTCTATCGTGTCTAAACCTTTAAGTACAAAACTGTAACCTGATATAAACGGTGTGATTGATTGGTTAATTAAGTAAACTACCTTTGACAACTATATAATTACATAACAATCATGACACCCCCAACCCACCAAAAAAGTTCAACTATAATAATAATTCTCCTGTTGCTCTTGATTAATAACTTAAACACAAAAAGAATAACCACCTTTTTCGTTTGGCACAATGAGAGGTTTATTCAGTGAAATAACAGAAGATAGAAATAAAAAAGCGAAAATCTATCCGCCAAAGAACCTCTCGACCCAGATACAACTGGGTGGGAAGGGAGGGGAAAGGATTCGACTGTGCAAACTACAGATGTTATAATCACGATCTGCTAATAAACTGACAAATTCTGTTGTGACGTTACTATATATACTGGCGTTCGTTTGGCACAATGAGAGGTTTATTCAGTGAAATAACAGAAGATAGAAACAAAAAGGTGAAAATCTACCCACCAAAGAACCTCTTGACTGCCAAACCCCCAAGTGAAAAAGGAGCTTTTCATCAAAAGCACATATCATACGCTGCACGTCGCGCAGCTTAGCATCCTCGGAAAACTCAAGATAAACTTTGTGGGCGTCAGACGCCCAATCACCATAAACCTGAATAAGTTTGTCTGGAACACCAGAACGAAAGGCCCACGTAGCTCCTCCTCTATGGAAGGAATGGCCTCTAAACTTAGAACAGTCAGAAACCCCAAGACGTTGAAGACGCGATCGAAAAACCAACACGAATTGCGACTTGGTAATAATAGTATAATGTCCGGAACGGCCCTCGAGCATAAAAAAGACAGGGGCTGAACCGGGAGCTGGTAGAAAGGTACACATCTTCAAGGAAGCCCGAACTGGGCACAAAAGGTGGTCAGAATTACTAAGTAGGTGAAGGGCGAGTACTTTGGTGCCCCTGACGAACCTCTTCTCACTGTTCATAAAATTCTTCTGAATGATAGAGTACGGTCAGAGGGCCGCAGGTTCACCAAACTTGTAGATGGACTTATGCCTTCACTGACCTCGCGCTCTGTTTGAGAGGAACCAAGCATTCGGGACACCTCCTCACGGAGTGCTGCACGAATTTTGTCTCGAACATAATTAGATGCCATCTGCATGTAACCCCAAGGAAAAAGTGTGCGAACTTGAGCATACTACTCGGTGTCAGGCCTTTACGCGTAAATGCGCATGCATAGATTACTTCCCTTTCATTTGCGGCATGCCTTGGCTTTTTGTTTGTAGTGAGTTTTTCCCCTTGATTGAGGGTGTGCGTTATTCTCTTCATTTGCAGTGTGCGGTTAATTTTTTTTATTCGGTGTGTAGTGTTTCACTTTATTGTGTAGGAGTGAATTTGATTTTTCATTGGCGATGCTGGTTTAATTTTATTCGTAGTGTGTTTGATTTAGTTTGCAGTAGTATATTTTTGTAATTTGTGTTAAGCGGTTGAGCTTTTCAAACATCTCTGAGAAAAAGGTAGCATCAAAATAAATTCTTTCACAGTGGAACTCAGTGTGGCAAAAGACAACAAAATCCCCCCAAGCACTACCTGTCAAACCAACACAGCCCATGATTTGATAATAATATGCGTGAGTCTTTTTGAGAGAGTATGCACCAGTTCTACCATTATGTTTTAAGTAATTGAAATCAGACAAATAGTATGATGGTAAGCATTTAATTTCTAGTAATCCCCATGGCTCATTTTCAGAGGGGTCATAAACTCTTCTGTCAGGACTACAACCAAGGTGCGGTAAGGAAGGATTGATAACAAACCAACCAGATAAACAGCCCTTCCAAATTGATCTGCATACTGATTTGCTGCCTCATCCTTATGCTGAATGCCATATCTCATGGCAGCTGTTTGCACCACTTTCCTTCGCAGCAGATGGGCTGAAAGGCTCTCATGATCTTTCCTTCGCGAACAGATTACTTTAAAATTTGACGCAGTCAGGAGGTACTTTCTTAAGTGATGCCACAGTCGCAGTCAAAACTGTTGGGACCTTTTTGTG